GTATTAAACATTAAAACCTTTTCTCAACCAATTATAATATTAATATGTAAAAAGAAGACAAAAAAAATGTAAAAAAAAATACAAAAAGTTAATCCACTGAGCCCGTAGTTCAAACTCGGAACACAGGGATTTATATTTATTATATTTCCACTTATATTATTGAAGTTTTAGTAGGGATTCCTAATTTTTCAAGTAATGAATATAACCTACGTTACTCTGGGATAACAGCATTCTAATAGCCCACCATACACGAACGGATTTTTTGACGGATTAAATCTTCTAAAAAGTCCTACCGTGTATGGTGTTCTAAGGATTGAATCTTTGAAAACTGAAAATCCAGCAGATTTAGTCCGACGGATTAAGTCTCTCGCTTCTCCACTAATTAAAAAGATTGAGTCCGGCGAACATTGATAAGAAATTTTTATTTATTGATAATAATTTTTCTTTTATCCTTATCATTGATACAATATCATCTATTTACTTATCAACGGTTAGTTTAAGATTTTTTTTTAAATTTATTAATTTGTAAATCTCAGTGTTTTTGTTTGAATTTTTTTTTTAAATAATAATTCTTTACATTTCGTTCAACTCTTTTAATAATGGCATATGACCAAACAAGTCCCTTCTAGTGAGCTTTTTTTTGACCCACTTAATCTTCATTTTTTTCTTCGAGGTATAATGGTAAACGACCATCAATCCTGCAGCAGTTATCAATTTTTTTTTCTCAAAGGCATATTATTATTATTATGTTTATTCATATTATTAAATATCAATTATATATTTAGAATGTATGAGTATAAAATAACATTTACTTAGCACAAATTAATAACATAACAATAATGACTGATAAGGAAACTGTATTCCGTCAAATAAATCCGCAGGTCTTTTAGTACGTTTTGAAAGACTAAAGGACTAGATCCTTTGCACAAAAGTCAAAGGATTTCCGTCAATAACTAGCGGATTTAGTCCGCTGGTGGATTCGATCCGCGAAATAAAGTGGATTTTTATTAGCGGACACAACTTAGGACCTAGTCCGACGGACCAAATCTATCGAGGACCTAAGAATTTAATCCGTCAGACCAGATCCGTCATAAAATCCGTTCGTGTGTGGCGGCTTAATAGGCCTTAGATGAAAGATTTTTGAAGTCAGTCCAATAGCTTTTGAGATTTTTGTAAACAAACATTCAAATACTGTTTTTTTTATGTAATAGTAATATTAGTTATACCATTGATTATAAATACTATTTATAATCAGTGGTTATACATATGAGTGTGTAATATATTATATATATCAGCGGTTCTCAACCTGTGATCCATGGCCCCCTGGGGGTCCGCAATAGGCCGCCACACACGAATGGATTTTATGACGGTTTTGGTATAAGCATAATTTGCAGTTTCCTTACTTACTGGGAAATCAGGGAAACCTCACACGATTGCAGAAGATTTGATATTACCAGTTGCAAAAGCTATTGGTTTCTGCAATGATCGGCAAAGAAGCTGCAAATATCTTAAATAAAATTGCATTGTCAAATGATACAATGAAAAAACAAATTGATAGCTTATTAGTAAATATTAAAGAACAGTTATTAAGAAGAATTAATAAAAGTGACAACTTTAGTCTTCAACTAGATGGAAGTACTGATATAACTAATAAATCTATTTTACTGTGTTATGTGAGATACGAATATGAAAATGTCATTTCCTAAGACATTTTGTTCGTAACCACTATGGTACACACAACGGACGAGGAAAATTAATGAATTTATGATATTATTGCGAATGAAATTGAATGGACTAAATGTGCAGGATTTAGTACAGATGGTGCTCGCACAATGTTAGGAACATTTACTGGATTAATTGCACGGATTAAAAAAATCATACCATCAGTCACATGGCATCATTGTTGCATTCATCGCAAAGCTATAGTTCCCAAAAAAATACCAATACCATTGAAAACAGTTTTGGACGAAGCTGTAAAAATTGTAAATTTTATAAAATAAAATCAAAATCATTGAATTCAAGAATTTTTGAACAACTTTGCAAATTCATAGATAATGAACATTATAAACTTCTGTTGCACTCTAAAATTCGTTGGTTATCTCGAAGTAAAGTACTCTTCTCTCGTCTATTTGAATTGAAAGATGAGGTAAGATTATTTTCTATCGAACATAAATCATTTTCGTTGAGTGAACGCGTGAATGATTATTCTTGGTTGGCTACTTTAGCATATCTATCAGATATATTATTTACTCATTTAAATGCGCTTAACTTAAGTCTTCAAGGAATACAAGTTACAATTTTCAAAGTTGAAGATAAGATTGAAGCGATGATTAAAAAGTTGGAACTGTGGAGTCTTCGGCTGTCAAAGAAGAATTACGATCCATTTCCAAATCTCGAAATTTTTATTGAATCAACTGAAGATAAATTGTCAGATAACGATTTTAAATATTTTATACAACACATGGATAATATGCAACGTAGCTTCCGTGATTACTTTCCTATCCCAAATATAAGTAGAAATTGGATTCGACAACCTTTTGAAATTGATATTCATCAAATAAATGGACTGACGTCATTGAAGGAAGATAGCTTTGTAGAAATGTCTACAGATACTAGTTCAAAAATTCAATTCAATCAAAAGTCATTGGGCAATTTTTGGTTGCATGTTCGAAAGAATTATCCAGAATTACTGAGTAAAGCTCTGAAAGTTTTAATTCTATTCCACACAACTTATTTATGAGAAAAAGCCTTCTTCGCTCTTGTTTATATTAAGAATAAGTTTCGAAACAGAATAGAAAACGTCGAATCTGAACTACGATTAAAGCTTTCAAGTATTGACCCCGATGTTCAAAATCTCGTAACTGAAATACAACGTCAACCATCGCATTAAGACTTAATAATTGAGTAAATAAAAATGTAAATAAAAATTAAATTTTAAGAATATTAAAAATAAAATAATTTTTACTACAATTTTTTTTTTAATTAAAGTATTTAGTGTTGTTAAAGTTTAAAATGAAAAATTAAGTTTAATAAAAATAATTATAAACGTGTTTATTTTGTTATCTCTATCTCTATAATTTGTAATATAAAATAGTTATTATAATTTTGGTTATGATAACATGAGATGTTTTGTAAAAAAAAATTATTCGACAAAAAATTGGTAGGGGGTCCGCAATTTCGAAAAATCATTCATCCGAGGTCCGTGTTCTACAAAAGGTTAAGAACCGGTGATATATATTATATACGTCTATACAGTATACACATATATTTTATTGATTTTTTTTTCTACAACTACATCTATTAATAAAAGAACTTCTGAGTCTCAGAAGAAACCTTTATTGGCCTTCTGGTACTCTCTTAGGTACACTCCAATCCTCCTCATTATTCATACTTCTTCTTAGTCATTAAAACACTATAAGGTTAGGAAAATATGGACATTATTTTACAGCAAAACAGTAAAATTACGGCGCATTTTGTTTAAGTAAATTAAGATGACACACCACGAGTGTCACACTTCGAAAACAGTTGTCTCTACCTAGACTTTACCGTGTGATAAAAACTTTCTGTCGAAATGTATTAAAATAATATCTACGTGGAGAGCACACACACAGTAATACGACGCGCGACCGATTATTTTATTTTCAATATTCGTTTATTCGTTATTTGGATACTTAGTATCAACAGCCAAGATACATAGTTGGTAGTTCATCAAATGCCGACACGATCATCCGGAAATAATTTAAAAAAAAATCACTGAATCTCTTTTGATACTTTCGAAAGTTAAATTAAATGCATTTTCGGAAAAACGTGTCAAATTTAAAGGATGAATTCACATATTTCTATTTTATTATAAATAATAATCCAAAAACCAAATAATATTATTTTTTTCCATGATGCTGTTGTCTGGTTGAAATATAGACACATATTAAATAGAAGTAAACAATATATATTTATCATGAATATCGCAGTTACTGATTAATAACGCACCATAAATAAACGTTCGGATGTTAGTATAGATTTAAAACGCGCGGTAGATTTTTGTACGCGTTCAAAATATTGTGCGATAAAATAACGCCCGTTCCTAACTTTAAATTTAATTAGTTAAAATTTACTATTATCGTTGGATTGTCTGAATTATATGAATGAACATATTAACTAATAAATTACAATAATATAATACAGTAATACAACTTATAAAGTTGATTAAACGTTATTGTCTCAAAGATTTACAATAAAACTAAATACATACGATGCGGGCACATGATAAAAACAATAACACATTTACTACTTATTTTAAATTAGTGGTTATAATATTAAGATAATATAAATTCGTATTTGCGTACATTATGGTTTTTGTTCTATTGTTTTTAATAAATATAATATTCACAATTATCTTATTACGAAAAAATTACAAGGTGTACATAATTTGTATTGAGTCTACTTTAACCCTGTAAAATGTATATAGTAGAAGTTCATGAATTACTAGTTTCAAATTATTCATGTTATGTATTATATCTATTTATGCATACAACAATTTTGATAGTAACGATTAAATTTAAATTTAAAGTAAATTGTTTCTTTATGATTATGTTTATTTTCTTTTGTTATGTAAGTATTTTATTTCATTAATTTTGTAAATGATAATTAATAACTATGTACTTATTTCATTTCAATTGATTTTGATAAAAAAAATTATGATTATACAATAAAAATTTTTGTTTTTAATTGGTTGAGTTGTGAAATTTTATTAAGGAGAAATTCCCCAGCCACCTAAAAAAAATCTAAATATTCCTCTGGTGTACTTTTTAACCATTATTAGTGGTTGAAAACAAAATTGAAAATAAGTATACGATTCCAAGGCATGCGCTATATATATTTGTAAATATATTTACAATGATAAAACATGACGTTTAAACATGCTCTTCAAGTTTTCCGTGGGATATTTGTTACAAAACTTTTATGGGGCAATTTTATTAATCTTTTATGTGAGAAATCCATACCTCCAAAATTTCGTCGCCAACCCGTAAACATCCGGATTTGGCAGCTGGACCGTTGGGATTCAGACCACATATCATGACAGCCATTTTTGTACGATCTTTATGACCGGATAAACTAAGGCCTAGACCGGAACCAGGTGATCTCTCCAACATTACTACCAATACTTCACTGATTCCACCATCCTTGCCGTCACATAGATTTTCATACTTCTTCTTTGCTTTATCTATAACACCAATTTTCAAAATTATAACTTAAAATTAATCTCAAAAAAGAAAATCCAAAATAACAAAATAACATGCTTCAACAATTTTTGAACGAATATTGATTATATAATATTAAATGTTTATTTTATTTTTCCGGTATTTATTTTTCATATTAGTATGAATAACTTCCAATCAATAACTTTGGTTATTTATGATGTGCAATATATTTTTCACCGAGTTTGAATATTTTATGAATGAATAACACAATTATTAATTCCACCAAGTTATCATCAATAAATGACAAGGAAATATTCTTATAAGCCCCACTGATTTTTATGTTAACCTTAATTTTTACTTAGAGCATTGTAAAGATAATAACAAAGCTTCTATTATGGGGCTTATGTTTCACTCTTTAACTCAAATTAACTCATAATATAGGTAAAGTTTATTTTAATTTGTTTCTATAATTATTCATATCCCAGTATTAATGACAAAGCACAAAGATTCCATTTTTACACCTAACTTAGATTTTATAATAGAAATCATTGATAAACTGTTAAAATAAGCGATAAAAAAGACTCAGGTAATTTTAAATTAATTTTAAATATTGAATTTAAATGATATGATAAAATAAATTAACAAGAAAAAATTATGATTGGGAAAATTTTATATTTACCTCAATAAATATAAAACTACCAAATATATATTTAAATTCAATTTTATTACTATATTTAAATGGTTTTTTTTTTGTTGGATTTGTACATTGGAAGACTATTAAAAATAAATTATTCATTACTGTTCAGTAAAAAAAGTATTGAGTTTAACAAATGTTCAATAAACGCTACGATCGTTCTCATTATCAACATAGTGCAACGCAGAATACAATTTTATAGTCAAGTGGTACGACACGCTGTGCGGCACAAGGCAAGTTACGAATCCCGATTATTCGTATCCTCCAAGATATTGTATTTATTTTTATCTTTTTCATATTTCAACCACAATTTTGACAGATACAAACGTCGTCCGTCGAACCACCAAATAAAGTCGTATGTTCTGTTCAAGTAAAGTTTATTTCAGAGTATCGGCAGTGAAATTTCATTGATTTTACGGTTTTAATGTTTTACTATAAACTTTTTAAATATTTAAGCTCTTTTTTCTTAGTTACTGCCCAAATCAGAAATAAAATAAATATAATAAATTAATTAAATTATATAATAATAAATACTAAACTACAATAATATAACTCAATATAATACCCATGTGTACGATGTTTTAAAACATTAAAACACATGAAAAATATTATTATTACAAACGCAGGTGTATAGCCGCAACATGAAACTTAACTTTAAATATATCACTTTTAAACATTTAATATTATACGTTTGCTCATGATTCATAATTGTTGTATTTTAAATTTCAAGGTGAAGTAAATTATTGACTGGATAAAATTTTCTTTTCGATGTCCATATTAGGAATTTATTTTAAACTAGCTAATGGTATAACTTTTGATTATAATAATACATTATAAACTAATAGATTATTTAATAGAATAATTCAATTAAATCATTATTTTTATTAAATATGATAATAAGTGCTTATTTTTATAATTTAAATAATAACTAAAATACCTATTCAATGTATGTATTATAAAATTACATGTGCGTTTGATCAATTCGATAACATTTTTAAACGTACAAAATGCTAAAATATCTTAAATGAATTTCTGACTGCCATATTTAAGGATAACACCAATTTTATAAGCTTATTTTATTATTATGTTGTTTTATTTATTACAAATATAATGAAGGCGAATATTTATAATTCATTTTTAATGTACAATATATTATATTTAAATATTTTTAAGTGCATTTTATGTAATATAAACATTTTTAATGACGGTTTGAAATTTTTTTCTCTGCATAAAATCCAAAAAGTATAAATGATTATTCGTAAAAAAATTAAATTAAAAAGTGTAAGTATTTTATTTTTAAGTTTAAAATATCATTAAAAGTATAAACGTGTTGAAGAGTTTTTTTATCATGCAAATTCCTGAATAGTCAATTATTATGTAATACGATGAAAATAATATAATTACAAAATTTAATATTTTCTGTCATCTTATTTATTTTATTTTCAAATATTATTTTAATATTCAATATTATGTGTTGTGAATTATTTTTTATAAATAATCAAATTATCTTCTTTTGAATACATTTATTTTCATTAAGATAAATCTTATATAAAAGGTAGGTAGGTATACATCTAATTAAAATATTATACATATTGTTTAGTTTTAAAGTTATTAGAATTTCAGTATTAGAAATCAGTATTAGAATTTTTATTAATATTATTTATTGAATAATTCTCGACATAACACAATAAATAGGAATGGATACGCGTTTATTTTTATTCAAATCACTAAAAAATATAATAATTATTACACATATGTTTTATATACTACAATACTTAGTGAATTAGAAATTTAACCTACAGTGGATCTCGATTATCCGTGTTCGCGATTAATCATGCTCGTAATTCTGAAAATTTAAAAGTAATGGCATAGGCGCGTAAGTAGTATATGGTACGTAAGTTAAGGATGATAAGCAATATTAAATAAATAAAAAATGAATGTATTGTATTATAAGTAGATTTATAAAAGTAGTTGATGTCCTGAAGTTCTTAAACGAAAAATGTTGACTCCCATGAAGTCATGAGTTTAAGAAAAATCATTTTAAACCACAATAACAGACTGATTACTTCATATTTCAAGGTCTGATACTTTTAAAATATGATAATATGTATGTATATAACATTAGTCAAATAAAATGTAATAAAGAATAAAAAATGTAATTTAAAATGGTTAAATGAAAATTCTTTATTAATCATGATTTTATTAATTCGTGTGACTACATCCCATTACACCAGATATTTGAGGTTCTACTATACTAGAGTATATAATATTAGTATTTTCATACAAGTTATCCAATTATATAACTAAATATATTTATTGACAACTATATTTATTATGTAATGATATTAATTAATCTTATAATATCAAAAGAATAAAAATTTTTGTAAATCATTATTTCGATCAGCCAAAATATATAGATAAAATTATAAATGACTATCTAATAGTAGACTACAACTAATAGTTAATTATTAATAATTAATTGACATAATAATTTTCTTATATTTTAAATTATTGTATTATTATATATGAACACGACATTTTAATGTTTAAATTAAATATATTAGATATTAATACAAATATTAAAATATTAATATTTAACTAAGTCTTAAAATGTTCGAATTCGAATATATCTATAGAATCAAGCGAAATTCATGAAACTCGTATTTATATTAATTTAAGTTTGTACTTATTAATTTTTGATACTTGAAATTTTAAATTATGCCTTATTAATATAAGATATGTGATATTAAAATGGGAATCGTACGTAAAACAATACAATGTATCGCATAATATATTATTTAATAAATGCAAATCACTTAATCTTTAGTTAAATTATTATTTATTACACTTCTTTAATTCCATGTAGGTAGTAAAGTTATGTAAATAAGTTGAAATTTAAATGAGCAAAGGTATTAACATAATTTGTACAAAATTGAGAAATCGATCATTAACTAAATACTGTATATAAACTTTAATACATAATTGATAGTTTATATTTTTTTTTACCCTATTGTATTTTAATTATGGTACCTAAATGATAACATTAAAATAACTATATTTTACACATTTAATTTGAATAATAACGAATTAGGATCGGGGAGATTGACTCGAGTGAAGATGTGACGATCGTTGCCTGAGCCTTTTTGTATTGGAGCCATTATTTTTAATTTGGACCAATCTAATAAATATTTATAATAAGAGTAACAATATTGATTTATACAGTACACGCCGTAGTATTTTAGGTATACTATACTTGTATTATTACATAATATAATGCCTTTTAATACAATTAATATCAGGAAATTGGAAGGTTATAGGTACAATATTATTAATTTTATTTAAGCTATTTTTTAATATTATTTATTATATTTATATCAATTAATAATGGCTCTATAGACCGTATTGTTATCGATACTTGGTAGATACCTAAATAACTATCGGTTAATGAGTTAAACGCAGTAAAAACATTTGGGTTTATTAATTAACTAAACCAGGGCCATTTTAAGCAAATTGCTGGGTCCTAAATGTTGAGTTAGTCCACCTTTGGTTAGGATTCAGGTTCTCAATGAAACATTTTTTGTTGAATAAATACTTTTTTAATTATATTAGTTATACATGAATTAAATGAGCGAAATTTAAAAAATCAAACAATTTTAATAATGTAAATATACTGAATATAATAATCAAAAAAGTTCACTAATTTCAATGATTGGTTTTAATATTTTTGCCACTAAAATTATCTATTATCAACGACGAAACATGTATAAATAATGTAATTGTATATCTTTAATATTTGTATGTTAAATTTAAACATCCATTTTATTTTAAAAACATTTCATAAGACAAATCATACTACAAAAATATAAAAAAAATTAAATTCATACATAAAGGTAAGTTGAAACGTTTGAAAATATTTTATAATATTTTGTTGTGGAGTATTGTTTACAATAAAAAAAATCACTTACTAAAATATATGCCACCATGTGCACATACATTTTATAAATAACAATATGAAATCAAGTATGATTTCTATTACGGATCCTGAATCGTTGGCTTTCAAAATTCGCTAATATTACTTTCGTAGATAGACAAACAAAATGCACACACAAACCCATACGCACACGGGTGTAAAACCGTAAAAAAAATAACTATCGGCATACAATGGTTTGTGCAATAAGTGTATGGATAAAGTTACTTTTTATATTTTTTCAGATTTCTAGTGAAAATCGATAGATATTATTCTCCTAGAGTATTATAAAAACAACGTTTAGATATAATATAATATTATTGGGGAAGTTATACAAAGTTAAACACTGTTAAACGACTCCC